GCGCTATTAACGCGTAAGCGAGATTTAATCCGTCTTAGAAATCGTTCCAAATTGATTCAAGGAAGCTTATATGCCATAATTGATTTGTTACAAGGAGCGAAATCTATCTTTTTGTACTTTATATGGCGTGTGGGGGGATAATTTTCATAAAAACTTTCAAAATTAAAAAAAAAATGCATTTTGTTTTTTCTTACATTTAATTTTTAATGTTATTGCTGCTCCATAAAACCTTAAAAGGCAGTCGGAACATTCAGGGCTGCGCCCTGATACGAGGAGTCTTGTTTTAATTTAAAAGGAAACTTGGAGACCAGACATGGATAGGCAGAACATTAAGGGTTTTGTTCCGATAAACTAGCAATCTTGTTGCTCCAGTTTTGCGGAAAAAGAGGATTCAACGTGAACGGTCTGATTTGTTAGTATTTGATTTAAGTATTTTAAGAACGTTTTCTAGTGAGTTCGTTCCTGGAATCTTCGAAACAGCTCATTTAAAACTTTGAGGGTTTTGACTATGCTGGAAACGCACAAGCAATCATAATCTTAACCGCAAAAAATTGTTCCGAAATTAAATTTATTGCCCCAATTTATAGCTAGTCTTTTTATCTTCATATAATTATCCTTTCATGCGACTAATTTTTTAATACTTAATATTTAATATCAACGATCCAAAAATTCTAATTCATTGAAAATTTTAGTACTAAAACTATTGGCGAACTATTAAAAAGAATTTCGAACTTTAAAGATTTTGATTTGATATAGAAGCTGTTTTTGTTCCGACTTTCGATACGAAAGTAACGGAATATTTGTGCTCGGGTGGGTTTTTTTTTTTCTTCAGACAAATTTCGACTTTTTACCTAGCCATTTTTGACGGAATTTTTTTATATCATTCAAAAGGTATTGTTGTCCTGAGCTTAAATTTGAAAAGATATTTCACCTGTGATCGTTTTTCGTAAAGTTATCGGGGTTTAAAGATTGCCATTTTGGCCAATTTGGAACAATTAATCCGTGATATACTTCGCGCTATTAACGCGTAAGCGAGATTTAATCCGTCTTAGAAATCGTTCCAAATTGATTCAAGGAAGCTTATATGCCATAATTGATTTGTTACAAGGAGCAAAATCTATCCTTTTGTACTTTATATGGCGTGTGGGGGAGATAATTTTCAAAAAAAAAAATTCAAATATTGGAGAAAAAAAATTTTATTTTATTTTATTTAATTTTTTTAAATGTTATTACTGCTCCATAAACCTTAAAAGGCAGTCGGAACATTCAGGGCTTCGCCCTGATACGAGCAGTCTTGTGTTATTTGATACACTAATTTTGCCGAGTCTGTTGCTTATTTCATAGCACAGTTTTCACTCTGGCAAAAAAAATTTTGGTTTAACCATTGAAAACTGAAGTTCGAACGAATCAAAATGAGTTCTGCCAAGCTTACATATTGCTTAATTCGAAATAGATTAGGTATCTCGCACCAGCTTCACAAACGTCAATGATAATATATAAAATTACTCACTGTATTTTTCGATTTTCAACGTGAAGCTTAATGTCAGTGCTCGACCGAAAAAGGATAGTCGAGAAAAGGTTTTGGATATAGCAGTAACTCGAAACATAAATAGAGCACATTCGAAACAAATATAGTTGGTTGTGCATGGTCGAATCATACGTCCAGCACCGAAACACAACTCTCCTCTCGTAATCTGATGTTACGGCAGGATTTTTTTGCTTTTCGACATTAATTTTTTTTCTTATGGCCAGAGAGGATAAAAAGTACTAATCTTGAGAAGAACACGTTTTTTTTTTCAAGTTTATTGCATAAATTGCCAAAAGCGACGTGAAAAAGGTTTGTGTATCAATGAAGGCCAAGAATTAACGTTTTAAAATCAATCTTGTCTTTTTTGAAGAAGCATATTTAGGATCATAAATACGATCGTATTGAAATAAATGTATTTTAAAGCTAATCATATACAAAAATTATAGATCGGTTTATGGTGGCCGGGAAGGGATTTTAGTTGTTTTGCTCTACAGATAATTTTGTTGCTTTGATTATTTATATCAGCTTTTCACATAAAATTTTGATGTTCATCGTCTTTCGAAAAAAGTAATGAATTATTTGTACTCGCGGTGTTTTTTTCCAGACAAATTTTGAATTTCTGGCAGTTTTTTTTGTATTATCAGAAAACTATTGTTATCTTGAGCACAAATTTTATTTTAAAAAAATATTTTACCTGTGATCATTTTTGTGAAGTTTAAATTTTGCCATTTTGGTTATTTGAGGTAAATACCACGTTATAGCATAAGCACCAGAGATTAAGTCCGTCTTAGAAGTCGTTCTAAATTGAATTGAGGCATGCATCTTGGTCGTTTTGATATTTGCTGTATGCAAAAAAAAATCATTTTTTTTCATAGCGTGCGGTTTTCGCAAAAAAAAAACAAATTTAATTTCGTTTTCATTTTTTAAAAAGTTTATCATTGTTTTTCAAGTGAACTGAAAGAGCTAAAAACGCAATTCAAACATACAGGGCTTCGCCTTGATACAAGAAGTCTAGTTGCCTTTTATTTGCGATCAAAAATGAGCGCTGATTTTTTGTACCATGGACGCATGCTTTGAAGTGAAAACTTTTTCATTTAGAAAATTCTTAAATGATTATTTTTCTTACAATTTTGACGCCAAAGTGTGAACCAAAACACTTAAAACAAGTAGTTGAAACAATGCAATACTGAAAACAAAATGGCACCATGAAAATCAATTACTTCTACCAAAAACACCAAAAAGTAGTTTTCTAATTGCGTAAATTTCTGAGTTAAAGCTTCTTTTGGCTGGAAAAGTTTTTAAAAAAAGATAAAGAAATGTGGTAATTCGTTTTTTTCAGTTAATGAAGTGTGCTATGGATGAAACAAATTTTTTCACTCGATAAACTTTCACACGGTTGTTTCCGCTTTTTTTCTAGCTTAATTATCCTCAGATCAATTGTTTGAGTTTTTTTTTACTCGAGTGCACCTGGAGGTGATGTATCTGGTTTAAGTGGGTTAGTTCGACTAGTGCAAACTTAATTCATGCTAGCCATAGTATAATTATAGTTTCAAATGGAAGGTTTGTCAGAAAAGAGAGTATATTTGTCAAATCAGGTTTTTCGAGGTTTTTCAATTCTCCAAGACCCTATTTTGTCAGCAAGTTATTAGAAAACCACCCAAAACATGATTTTTAATACCATTTGATTAATCGTTTTTATAAGTGAATCAGTCAACAGACAGTCATCGACTGCAAATGCATGGTGGTTAAAATCCAAGTTTGGTGGTCAAAAGCATTGCCTAATTAAGCAGTACCATTTCCGACTTCCTGTTTGCTAAGCGAGTCAATTAGATGGGTTCTTTTTTCTTACTCCTACATCCGATTGTGCTAAAAAACCTATCAATTTTATAGCCACCATTGAAAATGGGGAGGAAATTTTAGCTTAGGGTCTGTTTATGTTATTTTTTCTCTTTCTGTTTTCCTCGCAAAATGAGGTCAAGTGGTTTATCATATTGATATCTTTCGCTATGCTTTCAAAAAAGATGTCGGAGTGTCGTGAAAAATCGATTTGAAATTTTAAATGAATAGTCTAAGTTCGAGCAAATAAAGTGAAATTTCGAGCAGTTCTTGCTTTGCTCAGGAAAATTTAGACTGGAAGTTTTCCTTAAAAATTTTGGTTTCTACTTCAAAAAAATGTTTTGGAAGCTTCATTTGGCACTTTTTTGGTAAGATAAGCTTCGAAAAAACCATTCTGCAAAACATCTGAAAGCTTCTTTTTCCAATTCAATTTTTTTTGTTGATTATGTCTATATCACTATTTTTTAACGCGTTTGAATAGTTTTCCTGATCACATCCCGCAAAAAACGTCACCAAAATGATAACAATGATAGCCGGTTACTGCGCAAGTAGACAGAAAGTTCCGGCCATAATCTTAAAAAAATACAACAAAAGTATTTTCAATTTATTGTTGTTTTTTTTCTGCGTGGCGTGATAAAAAAATCTGAACGAAAAAATGCTTAGTAAAACTAGAGCTAAAAGCAAAATCTTTTTAGGAATAAAAACAATTTTTAAAAAAAACGAACATTTGCTGAAAACTTTTGAATTCTTTATTCCGAAAACGCGTTAAAAACTCCTAAAAAATTATTAAACTTTTGTAAAACTAAAATTAGGCAAAACCAAGCTTTTGTAAGCGGCTTACTTTGTTTGCAAGGAATTGTATTCATGCATTGATTTTTCTATGATATTCATTTTATTTTTAAAAAATCTGCAGATTTAATCTTTTTCCCCTATAATTATAATATTTTGCATGCTGTTTTAAAATTTTCTTATACGACTAGGCTATTCGTATAATTCAATTCAACAAAAATTGGGTTCTCCTGAAGTTTAAACCTTATATAATGAGTTCTTTTTTATTTTTTGAGATTAAAACCGTTTTTTATGATATCAAGTCCTCAAAACTGGTAATTTGTACCTGCAAATATCGCTTCTCGGATTTTTGATTGAGATCATGGATAGTTTCCAGGTCCGAATTTACGTGACTGAAACGACTCGTGTTCAGACTGTCGTGTCTCATATTCAGACTATAACACGACTAATTTTCAGACTATCTCGCTGCTAATTTTCGGATTGTATCTAGACTAACTTCTAGATTATTATGTCTAATATCTGAAAAATCTCGAGCAAAATTGGAAGTTTCCGGACTTTGTCCGCGTCGTCTACAAACCCTGTCGGCCGCGGAATGAATATCGGACTGGACAGACTGGAAAGACTGGAACTTTTTCGCTGACCTCTTGCCGGCAACATGCGCAGCCATTAGCTGTTTGAGAAAACTGTACTAGTATACCTCCATTTAGAAATAATATCTAATGGCAACGAAGGCACTTTTAGGGGAAAAAATAAGGATCGTTTGACCAAATGGGTTAAGTAAATAGTGAAATAATGTCTTTATTTTACTTCAATGCAATGCTATTAAAAGACTGGTTTTGTGTTGCAGGGAAATCTTTGCCATGGTGGAACTCGCAGCAGCAGCGCATCCACAGTGTGTTGCTATCAGACGGCGGTGTGTATGAGTTCTACCAATCAGAGGCTGACAGGACCCAAGGCAGGGTGGGACTTCTCAGACTCATTGTGTCTGGTTAGTCAATATATTCATACCAATAATATTAATTTATTATATTTTCGGGTCGAGGTTGCTGTTTTATGATCAGACGGTCGCGACCAAATTTTGGTATTTCCAGACTGCTGCAACCGAAGTTGGATATTTTTATACCGCCGAGACCAAAATTTGGTATTTCCAGACTTTGCGGACCGAGGTAATATGTGTCCGCGACCGGCGCAAGAAAAGGAAAGCTAAACGCGACCGGCGCGACCGATTGAAAATTAACCGCGACCGGCGCGACCAAAGAAAAATTAACGGCGACTGGCTCGGCCGAAGAAAAGTTAACGGCAATCAGAAAAAAACGACTGGAGAAAAACGTTCCAAAGAGGACGCAGTTAAAACAATCGAACGTGAAGTTTTTCCACCAAAAAAGTTGAACAGAAAAATAAACGATACCGGGACGAGTTTTTGACTTTATTTTTCCACCAGCGTGACCAAAAACACCAATTTTTTGACCGACTAGAACCGACTAAAACAATAACTGACTTTGAGTTTTGACTTGAGCTTTTTAGCTTTTTTGAGCATCGCTGATTGGTGGATTTATAGTTATCTTTCAATTTTCTGTCCATATTCCTCTTTCTAAACTCAATTGTTCTTGTTGTGAAAATAATTTGTACTAATTATTTTAAATTATTTTCATAACAAGATCAATTGAAATTTGAAAGAGAAATATCGACAGAAAAATTTTAGATAACTGCACAATTCCAGCAATCAGTTATGCAGAGAAAAAATAAATGGTGTAATCAGAAATCAAAATCATTTATTGGTTTAGTCGTTTGACATTCATCTCAACAATCAGCTCAGCTAGTTTTACAACTCATGATATGTTGAACAACACCAGGTTTTGTTGGTAGAAAAGCTGCCTGTCATAATGTAATCTATTGATTAGTTATACGCAAAAAGTCTAAGCATTCGATTGAATCGAACCATTTTGCTCAATTCTCAGAAAATTTGGCAATTTTAAATTGATAAAATGGTCGTTCGATTTATTATTTGATTTAATTTTAGGTAGTATCTGATTTTGAAGCCCACTCAGTGACTATATTTGCCAACGTTTTTATCTCTTAATTTTATACTTTGCCCATGAAAAGTTCGTTGAACCTGTGATCGTTTTTCGTAAAGTTATCGGGGTTTAAAGATTGCCATTTTGGCCAATTTGGAACAATTAATCCGTGATATACTTCGCGCTATTAACGCGTAAGCGAGATTTAATCCGTCTTAGAAATCGTTCCAAATTGATTCAAGGAAGCTTATATGCCATAATTGATTTGTTACAAGGAGCAAAATCTATCCTTTTGTACTTTATATGGCGTGTGGGGGAGATAATTTTCAAAAAAAAATTCAAATTTTAGAGAAAAAAATTTTTATTTTATTTTATTTAATTTTTTTAAATGTTATTACTGCTCCATAAACCTTAGAAGGCAGTCGGAACATTCAGGGCTTCGCCCTGATACGAGCAGTCTTGTGTTATTTGATACACTAATTTTGCCGAGTCTGTTGCTTATTTCATAGCACAGTTTTCACTCTGGCAAAGAAAATTTTGGTTTAACCATTGAAAACTGAAGTTCGTACGAATCAAAATGAGTTCTGCCAAGCTTACATATTGCTTTATTCGAAATAGATTAGGTATCTCGCACCAGCTTCACAAACGTCAATGATAATATATAAAATTACTCACTGTATTTTTCGATTTTCAACGTGAAGCTTAATGTCAGTGCTCGACCGAAAAAGGATAGTCGAGAAAAGGTTTTGGATATAGCAGTAACTCGAAACATAAATAGAGCACATTCGAAACAAATATAGTTGGTTGTGCATGGTCGAATCATACGTCCAGCACCGAAACACAACTCTCCTCTCGTAATCTGATGTTACGGCAGGATTTTTTTGCTTTTCGACATTAATTTTTTTTCTTATGGCTAGAGAGGATAAAAAGTACTAATCTTGAGAAGAACACGTTTTTTTTTCAAGTTTATTGCATAAATTGCCAAAAGCGACGTGAAAAAGGTTTGTGTATCAATGAAGGCCAAGAATTAACGTTTTAAAATCAATCTTGTCTTTTTTGAAGAAGCATATTTAGGATCATAAATAAGATCGTATTGAAATAAATGTATTTTAAAGCTAATCATATACAAAAATTATAGATCGGTTTATGGTGGCCGGGAAGGGATTTTAGTTGTTTTGCTCTACAGATAATTTTGTTGCTTTGATTATTTATATCAGCTTTTCACATAAAATTTTGATGTTCATCGTCTTTCGAAAAAAGTAATGAATTATTTGTACTCGCGGTGTTTTTTTTTCCAGACAAACTTTGAATTTTTGGCAGTTTTTTTTGTATTATCAGAAAACTATTGTTATCTTGAGCACAAATTTTATTTTTAAAAAAATATTTTACCTGTGATCATTTTTGTGAAGTTTAAATTTTGCCATTTTGGTTATTTGAGGTAAATACCACGTTATAGCATAAGCACCAGAGATTAAGTCCGTCTTAGAAGTCGTTCTAAATTGAATTGAGGCATGCATCTTGGTCGTTTTGATATTTGCTGTATGCAAAAAAAAATCATTTTTTTTTGATAGCGTGCGGTTTTCGCAAAAAAAAACAAATTTAATTTCGTTTTCATTTTTTAAAAAGTTTATCATTGTTTTTCAAGTGAACTGAAAGAGCTAAAAACGCAATTCAAACATACAGGGCTTCGCCTTGATACAAGAAGTCTAGTTGCCTTTTATTTGCGATCAAAAATGAGCGCTGATTTTTTGTACCATGGACGTATGCTTTGAAGTGAAAACTTTTTCATTTAGAAAATTCTTAAATGATTATTTTTCTTACAATTTTGACGCCAAAGTGTGAACCAAAACACTTAAAACAAGTAGTTGAAATAATGCAATACTGAAAACAAAATGGCGCCATGAAAATCAATTACTTCTACCAAAAACACCGAAAAGTAGTTTTCTAATTGCGTAAATTTCTGAGTTAAAGCTTCTTTTGGCTGGAAAAGTTTTTAAAAAAAGATAAAGAAATGTGGTAATTCGTTTTTTTTTCAGTTAATGAAGTGTGCTATGGATGAAACAAATTTTTTCACTCGATAAACTTTCACACGGTTGTTTCCGCTTTTTTTCTAGCTTAATTATCCTCAGATCAATTGTTTGAGTTTTTTTTTACTCGAGTGCACCTGGAGGTGATGTATCTGGTTTAAGTGGGTTAGTTCGACTATTGCAAACTTAATTCATGCTAGCCATAGTATAATTATAGTTTCAAATGGAAGGTTTGTCAGAAAAGAGAGTATATTTGTCAAATCAGGTTTTTCGAGGTTTTTCAATTCTCCAAGACCCTATTTTGTCAGCAAGTTATTAGAAAACCACCCAAAACATGATTTTTAATACCATTTGATTAATCGTTTTTATAAGTGAATCAGTCAACAGACAGTCATCGACTGCAAATGCATGGTGGTTAAAATCCAAGTTTGGTGGTCAAAAGTATTGCCTAATTAAGCAGTACCATTTCCGACTTCCTGTTTGCTAAGCGAGTCAATTAGATGGGTTCTTTTTTCTTACTCCTCCATCCGATTGTGCTAAAAAAACCTATCAATTTTATAGCCACCATTGAAAATGGGGAGGAAATTTTAGCTTAGGGTCTGTTTATGTTATTTTTTCTCTTTCTGTTTTCCTCGCAAAATGAGGTCAAGTGGTTTATCATATTGATATCCTTCGCTATGCTTTCAAAAAAGATGTCGGAGTGTCGTGAAAAATCGATTTTAAATTTTAAATGAATAGTCTAAGTTCGAGCAAATAAAGTGAAATTTCGAGCAGTTCTTGCTTTGCTCAGGAAAATTTAGACTGAAAGTTTTCCTTAAAAATTTTGGTTTCTACTTCAAAAAAATGTTTTGGAAGCTTCATTTGGCACTTCTTTGGTAAGATAAGCTTCGAAAAAATCATTCTGCAAAACATCTGACAGCTTCTTTTTCCAATTCAATTTTTTTTGTTGATTATGTCTATATCACTATTTTTTAACGCGTTTGAATAGTTTTCCTGATCACATCCCGCAAGAAACGTCACCAAAATGATAACAATGATAGCCGGTTACTGCGCAAGTAGACAGAAAGTTCCGGCCATAATCTTAAAAAAATACAACAAAAGTCTTTTCAATTTATTGTTGTTTTTTTTCTGCGTGGCGTGATAAAAAAATCTGAACGAAAAAATGCTTAGTAAAACTAGAGCTAAAAGCAAAATCTTTTTAGGAATAAAAACAATTTTTAAAAAAATCGAACTTTTGCTGAAAACTTTTGAATTCTTTATTCCGAAAACGCGTTAAAAACTCCTAAAAAATTATTAAACTTTTGTAAAACTAAAATTAGGCAAAACCCAGCTTTTGTAAGCGGCTTACTTTGTTTGCAAGGAATTGTATTCATGCATTGATTTTTCTATGATATTCATTTTATTTTTAAAAAATCAGCAGATTTAATCTTTTTCCCCTATAATTATAATATTTTGCATGCTGTTTTAAAATTTTCTTATACGACTAGGCTATACGAGTTTCAATTCAACAAAAATTGGGTTCTCCTGAAGTTTAAACCTTATATTATGAGTTCTTTTTTATTTTTTGAGATTAAAACCGTTTTTTATGATATCAAGTCCTCAAAACTGGTAATTTGTACCTGCAAATATCGCTTCTCGGATTTTTGATCGAGATCATGGATAGTTTCCAGGTCCGCATTTACGTGACTGAAACGACTTGTGTTCAGACTGTCGTGTCTCATATTCAGACTATAACACGACTAATTTTCAGACTATCTCGCTGCTAATTTCCGGATTGTATCGCGACTAACTTCTAGATTATTATGTCTAATATCTGAAAAATCTCGACCAAAATTCGAAGTTTCCGGACTTTGTCCGCGTCGTCTACAAACCCTGTCGGCCGCGGAATGAATATCGGACTGGACAGACTGGAAAGACTGGAACTTTTTCGCTGACCTCTTGCCGGCAACATGCGCAGCCATTAGCTGTTTGAGAAAACTGTACTAGTATACCTCCATTTAAAAATAATATCTAATGGCAACGAAGGCACTTTTAGGGGAAAAAATACGGATCGTTTGACCAAATGGGTTAAGTAAATAGTGAAATAATGTCTTTATTTTACTTCAATGCAATGCTATTAAAAGACTGGTTTTGTGTTGCAGGGAAATCTTTGCCATGGTGGAACTCGCAGCAGCAGCGCATCCACAGTGTGTTGCTATCAGACGGCGGTGTGTATGAGTTCTACCAATCAGAGGCTGACAGGACCCAAGGCAGGGTGGGACTTCTCAGACTCATTGTGTCTGGTTAGTCAATATATTCATACCAATAATATTATTTTATTATATTTTCGGGTCGAGGTTGCTGTTTTATGATCAGACGATCGCGACCAAATTTTCGTATTTCCAGACTGCTGCTACCGAAGTTGGATATTTTCATACCGCCGAGACCAAAATTTGGTACTTCCAGACTTTGCAGACCGAGGTAATATGTGTCCGCGACCGGCGCAAGAAAAGGAAAGCTAAACGCGACCGGCGCGACCAAAGAAAAATTAACGGCGACTGGCACGGCCGAAGAAAAGTTAACGGCAATCAGAAAAAAAACGACTGGAGAAAAACGTTCCAAAGAGGACGCAGTTAAAACAATCGAACGAGAAGTTTTTCGACCAAAAAAGTTGAACAGAAAAATAAACGATACCCGGGGCCGAGTTTTTGACTTTATTTTTCCACCAGCGTGACCAAAAACACCAATTTTTTGACCGACTAGAACCGACTAAAACAATAACTGACTTTGAGTTTTGACTTAAGCTTTTTAGCTTTTTTGAGCATCGCTGATTGGTGGATTTACAGTTATCCTTCAATTTTCTGTCCATATTCCTCTTTCTAAACTCAATTGTTCTTGTTGTGAAAATAATTTGTACTAATTATTATAAATTATTTTCATAACAAGAACAATTGAAATTTTAAAGAGAAATATCGACAGAAAAATTTTAGATAACTGTACAATTCCAGCAATCAGTGATGCAGAGAAAAAATAAATGCTGTAATCAGAAACCAAAATCAGTTATTGGTTTAGTCGTTTGACATTCATCTCAACAATCAGCTCAGCTAGTTTTACAACTCATGATATGTTGAACAACACCAGGTTTTGTTGGTAGAAAAGCTGCCTGTCATAATGTAATCTATGATTAGCTATACGCAAAAAGTCTATTTTGTTCAATTCTCAGAAAATTTGGCAATTTTAAATTGATAAAGTGGTCGTTCGATTTATTATTTGATTTAATTTTAGGTAGTATCTGATTTTGAAGCCCACTCAGTGACTATATTTGCCAACGTTTTTATCTCTTAATATTATACTTTGCCCATGAAAAGTTCATTGAAGCAATTATCTGGATATCAGTCTAAAACTAGTTTGCATGGACTTTAGTGCCGATTGAATTCTCGCAGTAGGCCAAGCCATATATTGTTCGATTTTCGAGAAAAACGCAATGTTTATGCTTGAAGCAGTTTTTTATTCAGTCAATTATCGGCGATCAAAATAACTGTTTTTAACAAAAAGTTTTATACCCCATTGAAAACAATCAACACCCTAAAATCAAATGTAAAAATCTATTTTACAAATGATCACTTTTTGCAAAATGCTGGGAGTTTGAAAGTTGCCAATTTGGCCAAACTCTGGATTAATTTATGCGCAATTTGAAGATTTTATTCATAATGAGGAAAACCTAACGCAAATTGCTTAAGATTTCAATGTTTTTTTTTTCCCAAAAAATATTTGATCTGAACTGAACAGCAGTCGGAATATTCAGGGCTTTGCCCTGATAAACAAGCTGTATTTTTTGCATAAAAAGTGAGCATCAATATGGCATTTTGAAAACATGATAGTTGTTTGAGTCACAGGAATCAACTTGACAAAAAATGCTGTCATATCAATTAATTACCGTGAGCTGTTTGAGAACCGTTTCAGATAAGTTCTAGTTTTCAATTGAAAGCGAACCAAAAACTCACATTATTTTTAAATTCTTTTCCCCTTAAATCATCAACTAAAGAAACTTCAAAATTAAAAAAATTGGACAAAAAGCTGACTTTATTTTAAAATAATCTCCTAAAGAGCCAACCCGTGTTGACCTCGCAGGGATAATCATCACTGGTTCAGCACTATAAGATGAATCAGTGTTGCAAATGGACTGATCATGAATAATTGGTCTCTGATCAGGGCCTCGAATAGCGATGAAGATTTTGACTAAATTGCAGCGCTGAATCATGGATATTTCAGTGCGACGATGGCTATTCTAAAAATCATCACTGACTAAGAGAGAATTCTGCGCTAACTCCGGTTTTCGTAGCTGTTTCGCAAATGATTCAGTGCTAAGTCGGAGCGGAAAAGCGCGCATACATTTTTTAGTTTCAATAACTTTACAAAAAGTTATAACTGTTAAACCATTTTCATTTTGTGCTTAATAGTACCGAGATTTGTGATATACACATGAACACTTTCTAACAAAAACTATTAGTTTGATCACCAAAATGGTCAAAGAAAACAACATCATAAGTTTAAAAAGGCATAATTTTCCACGAAACTGGAAAACGAAAACACCACGAGAAAAAACATCCCCTACTTTCCCGATAATAATCATTGTTTTTTTTCTACAGAGTGTGAGCCCCTGATCTGGGGTCGTGCATGTTCCGAGCACTGTCCAATCTGTCACAATGGGGGAGTATGTGACCAACTTATGGGAGAGTGTATTTGTCCTCCGGGATTCAAGGGCAAATACTGCGAACATGGTAAGCATGCGAACAGTATAAGACCATCTATCTGCCAGAAAAACAACCAACATAAAAGCTGTTCAAGCTTTAGCGAATAGATTCTGATTGGTTATCATTTTCTGACATTTCCTAGCCAGTGCTTCCAGAAACTCGCGAGATGCACAAAGAGTTTCTAAAAGTGCGTGAAACACTCTGCTTTTGTCTAGTTTCGGAACATCTTTGCATCAGTCGTAGGACTGTTAAACTATCCTCAGACCAATTTTCAGGTTCAATCGGTAAAAATTGCATCGACTTAGCACTCGAACTTCGACTTTTCTTAAAATAGTTTCGAGACCCACGATGGAAGCATAAAATGACAAAATAGCTTTTACTTCCTATTGTTTTTCTAGGCTGTAAAGTGGACAATAATCACGTTGTCTGTCCCCTCTCTGAGTCTCGTTTCATAAATTCAGGTCTTTTTTTATAATCGGTTCGTGTTTTTGATGAAACTTGTTCGTTTGAAACGGTTTGGAGAAATAAGTTTCTTTCTTTGCTGCAGCTTGCGAGGAGTCCTGGTTCGACGCCGGCTGCACCTCGCGATGTGGGGCTCCTGATGAGTTCGGAGGCAGGTCCTGCAGCTCCTACCTGTTCTGTATGCAGGACCCGTTCGGGTGCTCCTGTGCCAGTGGGTTCCACGGGATACACTGCAACGACGGTGAGTAATAATGTCAACTCTTCCCGAGGCATTAATTTGGTTCAAACGGGACTTGATCTCAAATTATTTACATCTCAAAACCCCGACAGCATAATAACCCGAAAAGTAAACCCTGAGTCACGCTATCTTGCGTAACACTTTTCACCAAAAAAAGTTGGCCAAAAAGCGTTTTCTTAGTGTTTTGGGAGAGCTCGAAAACTCAATTTAGTTAACCTAAAAAAGTGTCGACAAAATTTTTTGATTTTTTTTGAAAATCTAGATGTGCCCCTGATTTGCCTATATTTTAAAGCAAGTGAAATTTTGAGAGGCATTTTGATTGAGAGGCATCCTTCATGACGACAAAACTGATAAAAGTAGAGACTGGAACAAAGGTCTGAATTAAAACGATTACAAAGTTCTTAAAAGACCTCTAGAAATGAGTGTGTAGCCACCAACAAGCGGAAGAAGTACACATAGAAAAGACTTTTTACTAAGGTTTAATTTTCGAAGTTTTTTCTCCTTTGAACCTCAATAGTTTAGGAGAAAAATGGATTCAACCTGCAGCAGCCGAGCGGCAATCAAAATTTCAGCATAATATTTTTCAAAATTGCATGATAAATTTTTCTATGTGAACTGTGCCGTGAATTTTCCTTCAATAGCTCAGGTTTGTTTGCCCCGCCCAGATCTGGTTCGAAATTTCGAAATTGGGTAAGATCAGACTCAGGTGGAGATGATGGAGCGAAATCCGGCCTAATCACTATAAAAATAAACACAAATATCCGCCGGCTATATAGTTAACTCAGTCGTTTTTTACAATCATATTAACTACCATTTCCACCCGTCACATCAGTCTGCTGCTTGCGAAGATTTTTAGCAAATCTTTTTTTCTACACATGTCAAAGTGATGCATAAGTCATATTTAGAAAAAGAATATTCAAGTTTTTCTAAGGCTAAGTAATCATCTTTTTGTTTATGAATCCGAATTTGAAAGGCAAAAGAAGTCAATTAGCTTAATGCAACCATTTTTTAGAACCCTTGTCTGCACAGAAAACACTATAGTAGAAAGAAACTGAAATTAAACCCCTTTATTGTCAAAAATTTTAGAAAAAAACCGCCCTCTTAAACCTATAAAGAGAGTTTTGAAAGGTGAAGAATGAAAAATGCTCGCTACTTCACAAGAGCTGTGAAAATTTTCAAGGTTTTGTCTCGAATTTAGAACAGGAAAAACCGGAAAAACCTTATATTGGTGGGTTTGAGCGTTCTTCCGCCCCTTTTACCCACTTTTTTTTCAAAAAATGACCCTCATTTTGGTTTTCTCGCAGTTCTATGGCTATCGAAATTTAACAAAAAAAAGGTTGAAGTTAAAAGCACTGCCGAAGAAGCGAAGCTGAAAAGATTGAGCATTCTGTTCAGCTTTCAAGGAACAGAGTCAAGAAATATGTATGATTGCGACCAAGATTAACTTTTCCGTAAAGGTGGTTTTTATACCATAGACAATGTGCTATTTCAGGGCTTATTCAATATGGTATTCTTTGTAGTGGTTTCATAAACATCATTTCCGACTGATAAAATTGATCATTAATCTGCATGGCTAGAGGCTTACAACACGGCTTTTCTTTTGTCCAAAATCGGAGGCGAGTTAAATAGGCTGGATCAAACAAATTGAAATTAGTATAGTAAAAAATAATGCTTATAGAGCTCAGAACAGCTGCTCATTATTCAATTCATTAGCTAGTCATGTTATTTCTTCACAATGGAAATGGTTCACGAGATACCAAAAAAAAACAGAATTTGAATTGCTTGCTATGTTAAAAGTCTATGCTTACCAAAAATTCGTTTCCGAGTTTTTTTTGTTCCGACTATCGAAAAAAGTGAGGAAAAAAATATGCATGGGGTGTATTTTTATTCAGATCAAATAATGACTGTGGTTGGGTATGGCACTGGAAATCTTCGGATTTCCAAGCAAGTATGCTTTCCACTAGCCTAAATGCGAAGTGCTTGACTAACAGTTCATAATTTCAATGGGAAAATCAATCCGCTCTCATAATGATTCCAAACTAAATTGAGGCAAACTAATTGGTCATCTTAATTCGACTCAAATTTTAACCCTTTAAAATTGATATTGGCGGTCTAAAATTTTTGTTTTGTCGAAATTTTATTCAACAAAAGAGACCAGCTAAGGGGCAGTCGGAACATTCAAAGCTTTGCCCTGATATACAAGCAGTCTTGTTTACAGTTAGATCACTTCATGGAATGTCAAAATGTGGATGTCAATGAGTTATCGAGGACACCTCAAGAGCAGAGTAAAATGAGCAGTTTTTCGTGTACGCATGTGTTTGCCAAAAAAGAGACAAAATTGCTTATAAGAAAAAAAGCTTTTATCATGGCAAAATCCTGAATAACTTGTCTCTCCTTTGAAAAGTACAAAATGGAGTCTTTTTGTTCCGACTTTCGATACGAAAGTAACGGAATACTTCTGCTCGGGGTGGGTTTTTTTTAGACAAATTTCGACTTTTTAACTAGCCATTTTTGACGGGATTTTTTTTATATCATTCGAAAACTATTGTTGTCCTGATCTCAAATGTGAAAATATATTTCACTTGTGATCATTTTTGTAAAGTTATGAGGGTTAAAAGATTGCCATTTTGGCGATTTTGACCAACTCGGGACAATTAACGCGCGATATAATTCGCGCTATCAAGGCGTAAGCAGAGATTTAATCCGTCTTCGAAAGCGTTCCAAGTTGGTTGAAAGAAGCTTATTTGCCATAATTGATTTGTTACACGGAGCAAAATCTATTGTTTTGAATTTTATATGGCGTGTGGGGGGATAATTTTCATAGAAACTTGTTCAATTTTTTTTTAGAAAAATTTTTTTTTCATTTTATTTTATTTTTCTTAATTTTTTTATGTTGTTTATGTTATAACTGCTCCATAAACGTTAAAAGGCAGTCGGAAATTTCAGAGCTTTGCCGTGATACGAGCAGTCTTGTTAACTTTTGAAAGTTGTTGAAATTAAATAGAAAAATGGAAAACATTTCATTTTTTGTTTCACTTTCCCCCACGCGCTAAATCAAGATTTATTATGATCTAATGAAGTATAATAAGACCAATTAGCTTGGCTCAATTCGCTTTGTACGGAGTTCAGAGCTGAAAGAAAATTGCCACTTGAGGTTTAATGGCACAAAATATAGAGCGCGTTAATTAAGCAAAATTGGCCGAATCAGCAATTTTCGAATCCCATAACTTCACAAAAAATGATGACAGGTACATTTTTTTTTGAAAATTGGAACTCAGGACGTTAAAATGTTCCAGATCAAATTTATAAAAAAAAATCCGCTCAAAAGTGGCATATAAAAAGCTCAAAACAGGTCTAAAAAACACAGCATCCAGCCAATTTCTTCTGTCATTTTCTTTAAAAGTCGAAACGACAAAGATAATTTGCTGCTGTGTAAAACCTCTATTAAAAAAAATTAAAATTGACGAGGGAAAATTTTGCAATCTTGAAAACCAATTTCCAACTTTTTCCACTTTGTTTTTTTTTTAAATGCCCTTTTGCCTCACTAAACAGTTGTGCTTTTAATTAATGAGGTTCAGTAAGATAATTATTCCCCGTGCAAAATGCAAAAACATTAGATTGGGAGTGAGACTCTTTCATTCGTGTTAAATAGACGAAAAACAGACATTTTTTTGAAATAGATATTTTAGAATCAAAAATGTAACCTATAGGTTTTTCCTTGAAATATTTAACAAAGGATAAAAAGACATAAACCATTGTTACTCTCCGCATTTTGTGACTTGGTCGTAACAATAAAAAAGTCTCCAATAAGATCTCTCATAGTGTGTTTCAGGCACTTTTTAAATTTTCATCACATGAAATTGATGCCGTTTTGGTTATCGTAACAACTCGACTCCTATCAAGCTAACTTTTTGTTGTACAAGGTTTAGCTATAAATATCGGATTTGAAAGTGTCTATCATGGCTGAGGTCGCATGGAGCTGGTAATCTCGGATGACTTGAAAGTAATTTACCTAGTATTGTTGAAGTCACATGGAGCTGGCAATTTCGGCAATTTCAGCAATTTCAGCAGTTGTGTCTTAAACTGAAGTTAAAGAAATTAAAATAAGACTGCTCGTATTAGGGCAAAACCCTCAAAATTCGACTGCCCTTTAACGTCGATAGAAACTGTTGAAAAGTTAACTTTTTTAGCCTGTGATTCTTCAAGAAGGTTTGGGCAGTACGGAATAATCAATGAACGCAAAACTTTCCAATTTATTTTAGCGCGTAGTAAATGCAATGCAGTTATCCGGCTCAGAAATTTTTGATATGATTTATTAAATTTTTCAGCAAAATTTACTTCGGCCGCCCTAAAAGACATCCGAACATTCAGTAATTTGAAATGATTAAAGCAGTTTTGTTACTTTTTACTCTAATATGCGGATATTAGGCGAAAGCGTTATGAGGCGAGTGATCTTTGTTTAATCTAATTTTCGACAAGAAACAAAAAACAATGCATATTTTAAAGTTGTCTTTTCAACGTTAACCTATAATATTTAAAGATAGTTGATTCTAATAAATTTAGAATCGCTTATAATATGGCGATAAAATTGATTTCAAATCGATTATAATTCATTAAAATGGAGTTTTGTCTGCAATATTTTCAAGCAAGTTCGATACATTTTTCATCCAATTTAATCAATTTTAATGGAAAATCATCTATTTTAAGTAGCCCAAAATGTTATAACTCATTCAGTTAATTCATAACCTTTCAATCTTCAAAATGAGATTTATTTTTGGCTTATGTATAGAAAATGTCACCTACTTTTGAATTTTTCCTTTACAATTTTTTCTGTGTTTCTAAGATTTTGAGCCGTGTTTTGTCGAATAATTTCAGCTTTGGAAAAAAGCAAACTTTTAGCATTCAAAATTATGGGAATAGCATTAAACGTTGATAAGAAACTTATCTCTCGAATTATAACATTTTATAAAGAAAATGGATGATTTTTCAGCCTTTTTAAAATCAAAACAAATATTTTAAATTAGATACATTCTTGTTTTGTTTATTAAAAGGTGACAATTTTCTTTGGCTCATTTGGTTTAGTGGGATGATCCATAGCGACCTTAGACAGGGGCTTTACCTTTCCCTCTCGTCTGCTGTTCGACACCCCATCGCCATCGATCACTTGATCGTTGGTCCGTGGCTCAACATCATCTGTGTTCGTTAGTTGCAAAAGTGAGACAACGATTCTCAACCCGAGAAAAACCTGCAAAATTGCTGGTTGGTGTTATTGAAAAAGCACAACAGCGATTCGACGTAAAGAGCAAAAACGCACGTTTGTTGCTCGTTGTCATCACAGATGAATGGTTCAAGCCACCATTTTCAGGCCAGGTAGGGCTAAATTGACCCCAAGAGTTGACTGTTTAGAATGTGAGAATGGCCTCTTTGGGGCTGGGTGCACTCTAAAGTGTCATTGTGCAGGGGGGAAGCAGTGCAATCGCGTCACAGGTCACTGCGAGGAAGGCTGTGCACTCGGTTACAGTGGTGACTCATGCCAGACGAGTAAGTTGTTTGATTTTGGGGTCTTTCCTCTTGGCTACCTGAGTCGCGTCCCCAAATAGTAAGTCGCGAACATCGGAAATCAAAATAGGCAAGGCACAGAAAATATACTACTGTTTTGTGTCCTTTTTATACTAAACAATTATGTTTCATTGCTACTCTAGCTCCTGAATTTTCATTTTCAAAAGTCAAACCAAAAAAAAGTTTATTTAATTCTTTAGACGACAACACTGCGGAGCTGCTCGCCTTTTACAACCGGAGAACGAACCCAGGCCAAGACACCGAGTTCGTGTGTGCCCTGCAGATGTCAAAACGACCCCTGATAACCGACTGTAAACTGCAGGCCCCGGATGGTACTATCCGGAACGCCTCCGGCACCAGCTTCCTCGGCCGAAACTACCCCTACAAGTGGTCTTTTCTCATACCCGATACACAACTGGGGTCATACAATTGCATATTTAGAGACAAATTAATGACTTCAGCTGAAATTAGATTCTATGGTTAGTCATGACAAAAAAAACTGAACTGTATGTCGCAGCTCAAACATTTTTCTCAATAATGCAGGAAAAGTTTCGTTGATGGATTTCTCGGTCCTTTTCGAGAATTTTTTCATGAATTGTTAAGTCATTACTTGTTGTAACTTCTTTGTTTGACATAAATAGGTCTTTTCTAGCTCCCACATGAAACCCATAGTTAATTGGTGCCGACGGCTTTTTGGGAAAGCATTATGGCAATTGCGTCCAAAAGATCATTATCAGGCAATGAAAGAGTCTCATTCTTAAGACAGATAGCTTTTGCGCTCATAGGCTGAAAACTGTTTCTTATTTTAGTAACAAACAACATGCTATATCGCCATAATTTGTTTCTTAACAAAATTCATCTCTTCTTTCTCAATGCAATCTTTTTTATGTAGAGTTGCTAATCGCATCTCACATACAAAGGTGAATAGGTGTAAAAAAGGGTTTTCTCGATTAATTCTTCTTTCTTTTTCATAGTTATTATTGAAAACAAAATTAAAAACGTTTCTGCTCTTTTTCAATTGTTTAGAAAGCCCCAGTAAATGCTAATGGTAATTGACAACAATTGAAGCACAGTTTTAGTCGCCAAATTGCCCCAGGGTTTGGTAAAAATCCATTTAAAATATTTCTTCAGTACATTTCAATGCCCAATTTGAGAGATTAAATATTTGACATAATTCATCGAATAATCTTTGTTGAATAGACAACAAAGTACAATTAGGCCTTATTTTCATCCACAGCAAGATTAAATGGTCTTTCACTAATGCAAAATCAATAAAAAATGTGAAAAGATAAAAAATGACGTAGTTGTTCAACCCTTGAGTGTATTGATGTTTTTTATATTCTGATAGCAAAATTTTTTTGACTAATTTTCAAAATGTGTTTCATGTTTAGCGCTTCCCAGATTGAAAGATGCGCCTGAAGCGTTTGAAGTGGGAAGTTCACACGTGATCATAAAATGGAATTCATGGACACGATTCTATGACTACGGAGATGGACCCATAAAAGGGTACAAATTATGGGCAGCACAGAATCGCCATCAGGCACCCAGTAAGATCATTATTGAATCAATTTTTCCAACCAAAATTTTTGTATCCTTTTTGCAAAAATTTTAAAAAATATATCGTCAAATTGTAAAACACTTATAAAACCTATACAACATGTTTATGATTACTTTTTTGAGCATAGAAAACATGTAAGCTTATCAAACGCATGCGCTAACCTCGTCTTATTTACCGTGACTTTCACCTCATGGAAGGATAAAAGCTTGCTGTGCATGTAGCACAGAATTTAAGAAGTAACAAGACTGCTCAGTAATAAGTAACAAGAAGTGACAAGAAGCCCTGAATGTTCCGACTGCCTTTTAAGGTTTATGGAGCAGTAATAACATGAAAAATTAATTGTAATAGAAAAAAAAATTTAATTAGAGTTTTGATGAAAAACATCCCCCCCCCCCCCCACTCGCCATATAAAGTACAAAGTGATAGATTTCGCTCCTAGTAACAAATTAATTACGGCAAATAAATTGCTTCAACCAAATTGCAACAATTTTTAACACGATTAAACCTCCGCTTACGCGTTAATAGCGCAAAGTATGTCGCGCGTTAATTGTCCCAAACACGTTAAAGTTAAGCCCCATAACTTGACCACAAAAATAATCACAGGAAAAAGTGGAATACTTTTTCAAATTTAAGCTCAGCAAAACAAAAAATTTTGAATGATATATAAAAATTCCGTCAAAATAGATATTTTAAAGGTCGAATTATGTTTGAAGAAAAAAAACACCCGCAGCACAAATATTCCGTTTCTTGCTTACAAAAGTCGGAACAACAAGACTGCTTGTATCACGGCGAAGCCCTGAATGTTCCGACTGCCTTTTGAGGTCTATGGAGCAGTAATACAATGAAAAACTTAAATATTATAAAATATAATCAAATTCATCCACCCACAAGCCATATAAAGTACAAAGTGATAGATTTTGCTCCTAGTAACGAATGAATTATGTCAGTTACGCTTCCTTCTATCATTTTGGATCTGCTTCTTGGAAGGATTAAATCTCCGCTTGCTCATTAAAAGCGCGAAATATATCGCTCGTTAATTGTCCCAAATTGGCCAAAATGGCAATCTTCAAATCTCCATAATTTCGCGAAAAACAATCACAGGTAAAATATTTTTTCAAATTTAAGCTCAAGACAACAATACCTTTTGAATGATATTAAAAAAACCGTCAAAAATGTCCAGTTAAAAAGTTGAAATTTGTCTGAAGCAAAAAACCACCGCGAGCACACATTTTCCGTTACTTTTTCGTCGAAACGGCAGTCGAAACAATAAGGATCATAAGAACATAACACGACTGCTCGTATTAAGTTCCGACTGCGTTTTAAAGTCTATGGAGCAGTAATAGCATGAAAAAGTTGAATGAAACAAAATACAATAAAAATCATTCCCCCACACGCCATATAAAATTCAAAGTGAGAGGTTTTGCTCCTAATTTAAATCAAGTATGGCAATTACGCTTCCTTCAACCAATTGGGATCTATTTCTAAGACGGAGTAAATCTTTGCTTACACGTTAATAGCGCGAATTATATCGTGCGTTAATTGTCCTAAATTGGCCAAAATGGCAATCTTTGAATCTCCATAACTTTACGGAAAACAATCACAGGTAAAATATCTTTTTAAATTTGAATTCAAGACAACGAAACCTTTTGAATGGTATTAAAAAATTCCGTCAAAAAAAGTCTAGTTAAAAAGTCGAAAACTGTCTGAAGGAAAAAATCAGCCCGAGCACACATATTCCGTTACTTTCGTTACAAAGTCGGAACAAAAAACCAGTCCACGTAACTACTCCACCACCGCTCTTCTGAAGAAAAGTTTAAAACTGGAAATCCGCAAATCCGTTTTTGTTAAATATTGGATTTTTTTAAATAGTTTTTTAAAGACAAAACCACAATTGAAAAGTTTGAAAATGATATTGACCCCCCCCCAGATTGCCTCCCCCAATTAGGGCATTTCCGAGGTTCTTCATTTTGCGTGAAGAACAGTCCACCCTGTGCCATGCTTTTTCCCATTTTGACATTGGTCGGAACAAAAAGTTCAGTCATTTTCTCAGCAAACAGCTCAGAATGTTTTGTACGTTTATACTTTTGAACGCATGATTGTCGGTTTGACAAGGATCGGTTATAATCTGTAATTAAGTATGAAAAATCGGGATTAAGAAGAAAATTAAGAAACTAGAAAACTGAAAAAACTCGTTTTTCTAGCCACCCGATTGCGACTTTTTTTAATGAGTTTTGAGTAATTTTTGATTTTCAAAAACAATTTTTTTGTAACCATTGTTCTTCTAAAAAATTAATGATCAAATTGATAAACTTCGCGTCTAAAAACACAAAGTTTGAACTAATATGCTTCGCTCGGTTTTTAAACTCGCATAATATAACAAAAATATTATTTTCAGTTTGAGTTCAGTGCATCCATTTTTTGCAGATGATTTTGAAAGTTTGATTAAATGAATGATAAAAAAAGGCTGAAGAAAAAAATAACTCCATATCAAGTTCTCCGTTACTAGTTTTGAATGTCAATCTCTAACAATTCACAAATCAATTGGATAGCTCAACAGGGGCGGATCTAAGATTTTCTGGAGGGGGATTTTCAAAAAAGTTTGGAAAATTTGTCGTTCTTTTGTTTTCTGTAAAGTCAACCGAATTGGTTTTTCGAGACCTCCCCGAACACTATAAAGAACCTACTATGACCAAAGTTTTTGTGCCGCCGTCAAATTTTAAAGAAAAACAGACCAAAAAGCTGTTTTTGGCAGTTTTTGGAAAATTATGACAACAAAAATGCGTTTTTTTCCTGCGCGCACCCCCTTCAAAGTTGGTATATATTGGTGCCGAAGACGTCTTTAGAAAAATTTTAGGGTTGGTCGGCCTGAAATGGATATCATAAAATAATACCAAATAGGGACCCTAAATCCGCCCAGTAGCACAAGTAGGGGTGTGTCTAGAATTTATTCGACGGGTGGTTTCGACAAGTTTTTGAAACCTTTGTTCACTTTTTCAAAAAATGACACCAAACTTATGTACCGAATCCTCTCAAAACACCCTAAACGCCCTTTTTTGATAAAATGTTCCTTAGGTGTGTATATGTATGTGTATATGTATGTATATTATATTATATATATTGAGGCCAACGGTAAATATGCTCGTCGTAAAGTAGTATGAAAGGGGGAACTTTTGGGTGGTGAGAGGGTTGTCGAATCCCCGAGGGGGAGGGTGCCTGCGGAAGTCTGCCTCTTAATGTGCATTTAAACGCTAAATCTGCTTTTGAGTTCAAGTGTACCTATGGTGTCCTATGATGATTTGCTCATGGTTTTAGCGTTAGCTTCGTTATAGTTTTTCGAACTGACATGCAATGTTTTCTGTGCTCTTCGACTTAATAAACCTGCGAACTCAACTTTCTGTTCATAATTGTTTTTTCTTACAAAAAAAACAAGCATCAGGCACCGAAAAATTATATTTTTTCTAATGAGTTTTTCTGACGCCTCAGTTAAAGAAATTTGGGAGAATTTCTAATTTTATAAATGAGTTTTTCTTTAGAGACCTTTCACTTAATTTTACGCTAGAAAAAAACATACTAAAGAACGATTGAAATACAATTGTATTGAAGTATGCATTTATAAAAATAACACAAAAGTGAGCAAAAGTGGAAAACGAGACAGAAACAGGAAACTGTTACAAAATAATATGTTTGTTCATTTTGAGATCGACCGCAGTATAGAGCGTATCTTCAAATGAAGCTCTTCAATTTTTAATCAGAGCAAAAGCATCGTTGGCAAAAGACAACCGTTCTGCAACCTTTTCACAGTGAAAACAGTCTTGATTGAGACTTGACTAAAATTGAAAGCCCCCCGAAAATAGATCTTAATGCAGAAATAAAGTGTTTTTAGTTTAAATCAGATGTTTGACAACTTCCCTTTTCCTAATTGGACATTTGTAACATCAATATTTAAGTGGAAAAAACTACCGACAAATGATGCAAAATCGCTCGCTAGGTTAATTATATCAAAAAACGATGAGAAAAAGAATCCTTTTTTTTAGCTACCGAAAAAGCATTATTCAATATCTTTGACTAATGATGTACGCTCCTGGTTACTGTCCGTTTTATGCAACTTCAAAGCGCATCTCTTTCTTTTCTGTAGCGGTACCGTTTTCCATTGGTCTTTTTTCTGCTTTTTTTATAAGTTTCCGAGAAAGCTCTGAAACTTGAAAAGACTTGACGAAAATGAAAATGCCGACATTTTTAAAGAAAGTGGCCTATCAAAACCGTTTGCACGTGCCACTTATTTTTGACTTTTAAAACATTTGTAATAGTTTTTTTTGATTTTCATAAATAAACAAGACTGCTCGTATCAGGGCAAAATCCTGAATATTCCGACTGCCTTTTGAGGTTTATGGAGCAGTAATAACATAAAAAAATTTAATGTAACAAAAAATGTTTTTCTAAAAATTGAATTTTTTGTAGATTTTGCTCCTTATTACAAAACAATTATGGCATATAAACTTCTTCAACCAATTTGGAGCGATTTATAAGACAAAATAAATCTCCGCTAACGCGTTAATAGCTCGAAATGTATCGCGCATTAATTGTCACAAATTGGCCAAAATGGCAATCTTTAAACCCCCACAACTTTGCGAAAACTATCTTTTCAAATTAAAGCTCATGACAGCAAAACCTTTTGAATGATATAAGAAAATTTTGTCAAAAAGGCTTTTTAAAAAATCGAAATTTGTGTGAAGAAAAAAATCCACACCGAGCACAAATATTCCGTTACTTTTGTTACGAAAGTCGGCACAAAAAAAAATCATATGGAAGGATAGAAGCATAAGAAGATAGAATTTAAGAAGTAACAAGACTGCTCGTATCAGGGTGAAACTCTGAATGTTCCCACTGCCTTTTAAGTTTTATGGAGCAGTAATAACATGAAAAAACTGTAATAAAACAAAAAAAACAAAAGTTTTTTTTTGTGAAGTTTGACTTTTATTATGAAAATCA